AATTTAATGTTACGAAGACACTTTGTATAACTGCCAAACTTTCATATCCTTGGCATTCATCTTTGAGACCAATTCTTCATCGCGCAACGGAGCACGAATGTGAAGAACCTGGATTGCTATGGAGCAGATAAAAATGCAACAACGTTTGCAGAGTCTTAATCCAGTGAAACCTATACAAGTAACTAACCCCATTTTTCATTCATATTGACTTCATAATTGAATAGAGCAGACACTTTAATTTTCGGAATTAGAAGCCCCTTGGAGTGCGGGATGTGTCGAATTGCAGAGAAAATATTGTGCACAGATTCTTTGCCGTCAATCGACAATACTTCTTGGCTTAACCGTGGAAAAATTTCAGGTTATCTGTCTGGATATAGATGTGCATGAATGTGTGTTATATGTGTGGGTGCATGTGTAAGTCAGCTTGTTGAGTACAATTGTTACTATTACTGTGAATCTGTAAGTAGATTGGGGGAATTCGCCAATATAGGAAGGATCAGATAAAATCTTTAAAGTGGTTGACGTTTGGGAAATTGATAATGTCCTACGATATGGCAATAGGCAATGACTTGATTTATTGGCGAGTCTTCCACCGCATCACAGTGTTATTAAGCCGACATTTGTGGCTTTTTATGGGGCGGAAGCCTACAAGGCGAAAACCCACCACTTCCTTGAACACTGCCGCCGAACTACTAGTTGGAACGTGATTAACCCGAAACAATCTGCTGGCAACACATGACGATTGTTCGGCTGGCAGCTGGTAGCTGACGCTTCCAAGAATTTCGTGCTTCTTGTTACCTAAACTGTACAATCCGAATAGGCTGACTAGTAGGTCGCTAGATCTTGCCTGTCCGCTAAGTAGGCGGCCTAGAATTAAAAATCCATAATGGGTTTCTGTATTGCGCCCTCGTGCACATGCACCTCATGAATCGTTTCGTCCTTGTTCAGCTGCAACAGGAGTCGAGATTACCATAGAAGTGAAAGCCGGTACACAGTGCTTGCTACCTATGGTCAAAAGTGGATTTGCGTGTCAAAATATTAAACAGACAGTGGGTACTCCAAAACCAGTTAATCACAACTCTGTAGCCTTGAATTTATCAACTTGTTTGTTGGTAAGGCGGTAAAAGTAGGGCTATATAGAAGTGTAAAGGGATAAGCACATCACAGCCATTTTGTACAGTGTGTCCGACCCCCATAATTAAGCAATAACTCAAACTGCTCTCTGGCGCTCTTGGCGTTACAAGAGGAAACCTGGACATCTGTAACACTTGTCCGGTGATCCAAGCAATAATTGGTGTAGGAGAGCAATAGAGTGCACAGTTGCACCCTTGCTTTTGACGAGAACAAAATTCTGTGTGGACCGTGGAGTTTGGCGCTCTTGTGCAACAGAGTCACCCTACCCTAAATGAGTCGCCTATAAGATCATCGGGAGATGAGGCACAAACAGCCACATTACGCAGTCGAACGATCTATAGGTTCTCCACTCTGGACAACAGTATGCTTACGTTACGACTGGTGCGGACATTCATTTGCAAACGTTGCCGCTTTAGCAGTTGAACGATCGATGTCTCCCAGTGTGCCTTGTTTTGTAAGACAAAACCTTCATACATACTGCAGGCGGCAGTGGACCGGTAGCGGGTTGACTGTAGTAGAGCTTAGGTATTACGGTTAAGATTGATGGACGCTTGTTTTATAAAGTAAAATAAAATACAGAGTGGTAAGCAGCGCTCTAGTTGCCTGAAAACAGGCTTCCAACAAACAACTTTTGCAAAATAGGCTTTAGTTCAAGTAAGCCTTCGCATTAGATTTTGACGCGTCCGTCGCACAGATCGCTCTTTGAATTCGATACGCCCCAACGCACCATTGGCACCATCGTTTGTGGACGAATACAGCATGTACGTGCTTTGTAACCGGCGATAAAAAATTTGGCGTACATGAGGTTAAACAGTCATATATATCAGCGAACGTCCTCTAAGCTTCAGCAATCGTTCTGCAGGTTTCCCATGGAGAGATAACAAAGTTCACTCAGGGCGACTAAACTGCCATTTGCGCTAACTGAATTTCCGATTTTAGCAAAAAAATAATTTATCTTGCTTAATTGCTAAAGGACTGGCGCAGTAGTGTTGCCAGATTTTCTGGCAAAGAGGTTAAAAATGTGTGGAAGTTTGAATTTGAGGAAAAAGTAAGATAAATCCGGATTAGTTATGCTATTGCATGTCAGATAGGCAACCAAACACCGAGAAATGCGTTGGCGGTTTTTTAGTCCAATTTGGACATCTTGGTAGTGAGCATTACTCGACTTCACTGGAGTCGGAACACATGGCCACCAGCAATATGCGCCAATATCCACCAGCATACAATACTAGGCTACGGAATACGGGACGTGCGTGCATTCAGTTGATGTCCAACAGGAAGTGCTGATTGGATCGCCGGACAAGCTTTTTAGATGTTCGCAAAGTGAGTCTTATCCTAGTGTGAATCATGGCTGCTTTACGGGGATGGTCCAGTTAGATAGGATACATTGTACATAATCATCATGCAATATGAATCAAGGTGAGTTTGCTGCCTTGCCATAAATGGATAAAATGCAGCATGACAAGTATTTGCACTTTGATTGCTGCGCGAGTCTTAGTCTCTAATGTGAAACAGTTGAATGACAAGCACTTGTTGTTACTGCCCCACAATTGAGTAACATGAATAAATTAAACGGTAATTAAACGGTGTAATATCACTTTCGTGATCCGTTCACCACTCTTTGAAGAGCTTGATGAAATAATCTGACATAGGCCATCCGCGTGGGCATTGTAAGAATATAGGTGGCATTTAAAAAGATTTGTCTATGTATTTCTGCTATGATGCATACAAAATTCATTGAAATCTATAACATGCATTTCACTGTTGCAAATCTTCAATAAATTAAATTCGAATGAATTCGCCTAACTTGAATGCGTGCATTCAATTTTTGTTTCAGTTCCGTTCATTATTTCCTGCTGCATACATCGCCTATGATTTTAAAGTTCTCAGGTGTGATCAGCCTATAATTGTCAGCCCAAGTGAAGCAATGTATGTTGCTAGCCTTCAGACAAGGCAAAATATATATGGGTTAACTTTAACAAGAATGAGCGACGCAGAGGTGGCTTTATTCCTTGAGTCCATTTTCAATACAGCGACGCTCAACTGTTGTAGTTACCAGCGGAAAAGCCTCACTCAGCTGTTGCATCAGGGTAAGACAAAGTTGGATACTCCAGAAGGTTTGCACTTATATGCTTTCTGTACATCTTAACTATATGCCCATATTGCAATTGTAAAATATGTTAAGCTATTTAGGTTGGTAAATTCTAAAGTACAATGAATGGGAGACCCATTAAAATTTTACCTTCTATACATCAGAATTTTATCTGTTTTATGAAAAAGCAACTTTACTTATACAAGCATGGTCTGATAACTAATTGGGTCCTAAATTCCAAAGTCTGGTATAAAGAAGGCTGCTGGTGAAAGACTAGTATGGAGTTTGATCTACTTTGTTAAAGTATGTGTAGAAAATCCGGTAAGTTGAGCATAATATACACATTAACTCCAAAAGCTCTCTACTTTGACCGGTTTCGGGACACCTACCCTATTATGCAATATGTGCCGTTTATCAGAAAATTTCATAAATTTCTGGCTTTCATATAATGTAAAGCTGCTATTATCCTTATTTAGCAAACATTGATGATATATTTCGACTTAAGTTAAAAGTTCATAATTTTGTATGGTTGAATTCATTCCAGGAATCTTTGGTTCTGGGAAAATGTTAAAATTGCCCTCATGCTTGTAGCAGTAATTATAATTTATTTTATCATGATCAGATATTTCCCATAGTTTTACAAATGACAGTAACTTGTTAAAATTGCAATTTTCTACTTAAGTGCATGGCACGGAACACTATTGTAAGTTTGCACATTTGCTTCATTAATGTGTTTGGTACTACTGAGCATGGAATTGCAAATACCTGCCGGTCATTAAGGAATTGGTTTGTGTTTATTATATGAGGAAGGTAAATTAAAATATTGATAATGTTAGTGGACAAGAACGTGTGGTTAGTTCACCCTTTAAGTAATAATATGTTGCTCTTTACTTATACATCAGACTCTAGTAGATTAAGGTTTCTGCCATCCAACCATTAGTAATAAAATCTCGGGAAAACTTAGGGAATCGCTTGTTTCAGGTGCGAAATTTTCCTTTTAACAACCTAGCTAATAAAGTCGTCTATCCTTGCTTAGACATTAATTTCGGTTTAACTGCCGATCGTACTTTGACAGTATCCTTGAACTATGCACATGATATTTCTTCTCACGGCAGGTTCAACTCAAGTTAGGTCCCCTCGGCAAATTTAACAACGACGCTTAACTAATTTCGAGGTCTTAGTCGAAGGTATCCGACATAAAGTTCGGTTTCTTATAAACTACTTGTAGTAGCTTCAAGTAACCGTATAACTGGCATTTATTTCTGCTTGCTGCCACAATCTGTTAAACGCGCCTATCCCCGGGTATCCTCTATCGGAATCACCTAGCAAAGTCAGCTAAATCATAAAAAAGCAAGTATTGTTTGGAAATTGAGGCGAGTGGATAATGAATGCATGTTTGAAATAGTTTATAAAATCCACTAACATAAGATAGGACATAAAACATGGGCAGCACGCAAAAGACAATCACGCAACTTTCAGTTTTAAAACAATCCCATTTTAAATTCTGTCTACCAAACTTTCTTTCTGTCCAATCCGGTAAGCGAAAGTTATCCTAGGATTCATTTAGCATTATTTATTAATTTTGAGAATATTTTGTTTCCCAGCAGGAACAACTTTCGTATAAATGATAGGGTCCAGAATTCAAACAGCTCAAATTTAACTTTTCGAAGTGCAATAAATTTGATAAAATTATCTGTAAATAACAGCTATCGTAACCATAGTTCTGCTGAGTTCATAGGACTTATATTCATTGCTGCTTTATGTTATAACAGCCATGATTTCCGGACCTACATCAGTTAACTTCTGCAATCAGGTGAGCGCAACATTGATAATGTAGAAACAGTCACAACATTCTTGATTTTGTTTGCCACACAGTGATTGTCTATTTTATAAGCAAAACATTCTATATGACTGGAATGTACACGATAATAGCATTAAGCAACTTGTCTTAGATATTGCATGTATATTTATATATATATTAGTAGAAGCAATGGCTTAATTAAAGATATACTTGCAATCACTGCATCCACAAGATTGAGGCTACCTTCACATTTTTCTTTTCAGACACACTTGTGGATGGCTGAGGGATTTGATATCATGTATAGTTCATGTCGGCTGCAAAGCACAGGCAACTTTGATATCAATGGGATGACGACTGCACTGTATCGGTTGAAGCTCAAAAAAGTCATATATGCAATGGATGCAAATTCCTATATAACCCAAGTTACCAAAATGATAGACGCGTTTAACAGACCCTTCCACAATTGTCCATTCAACGGATTTATCTATTAAAGCTGATGTAAGTTAAGTGGACCTATATACCGTAATCACACTGCATTTCAGACATCTTTTGACACATTCCTCATAGTTTGCGTAGACTTGGTTTATCATTGAATGACGCAAACGAAACATACCGGTCATCAGCAAATTACAAGCTGTAAAACAGAATGGCTTATGAATATGCTTAGTTGTCGTTCCTCCCAAAGTTGACACCCCTTGAACGGTTTCATTATTTGTTGAACCACTTAGACAGGGGTAGTCTGAGCTGGGAGTGAAATGATTGCCCAAAGATTAACGGTTGGTGCTTGAATTACCAGACCAATAGGATTATTGATCAACGCTTGGTAATAATATAAAATTTTGAAGTTGTTCTTGTATTACTCACCGTGTGGATGGTTTGCGCACCTAATCTCTATGCGACATCGGTTCGGATTGAATTAAACCTCGGCCATTCTAGTCACGATTGTGTCCGAAGCTATTTGGCAACATTTTATGTCGGTTTGGGCAAGTGTCGATAAACGTTCATTTAAAGAAAATGTGTTTACCAGGTCAACTGTCTGTAACATAAACTCGTGTAATACATCGAAGACACTTTTGCAAAAACCCTAATCATAGTGACGATAAAGAAGGTTAGAATTACACCTGTAGTAACATACCCAGGCGATGGTTTGTTATTTAATTAAAACCCTGTAACATGGAAAGTGGTCGTCTTATGACTTCATTCCTTAAAAGCAGGACTGAATTTTCTATTGAAAAGCAAGGCTTAAATTTTTCATGATGAGTAATATATTATTATTTTATGTCACCGGTGGTTTAAAGCAAATAAAACGTTGCAAATTACAAGCTCTAATACTATCAACCTTTATAGTCGTCGTAAACAAAGGGATATCTCGATATTGCGGCAAATACTAAAATCTACTCCTGCATCATCGTATGGTTTATGCGCTTCAGATTCTGCACATTAACATACAATCTTTGGTTTCAAACATGCAAGCACAATGCAAGTATTTTCTGACTATGGACACTAGAATTATCATACCCAAATTGTAAGGTTCTTTGCACATTAGCCAGTTGTGTCCATGGAATTACTCCTCCAGTTAAGAAAGCTGCATTTGTCACATGCGTGTCTATACTTAGACAAAGCTTTGGTGGTCAAAACACATTATTGTAGGATACCAAGTCAATTAGATATATCATTATTCCTGACTGAATGAATATATACTATCACTCAATAAGCTGACTTGCAGATGAGGTTTAATGCAGCGTCTACGAGGTACAGAGTCAACTGCTGGGTATCAGTCATACTAACTGCGCCTAGACAAAAAGCGTTACCTATTTATTTTAAGTACATAAGTAATATTCGTGAAATTGCGGAGTGCCAAAGAAGCTAGGAATTTCAACCAGCCACTGTAACAGAAGCAATCAGAGTATGCAGGAAATTACCCTAAGGAATCGTTGCAGAGCTTTCTCATGTGATTTCAAACTGAGAATAATCGCTATTCTCGAAATGGTCAGACTTTCCCTTTCCCTTGAATATAACGGCTTTAATGAATGTTTAATTCATTCTCTCCGTTGCTCGCAAGTCAAATAGCTTAAAAGCCTATCTTAACACTTACCGAATGACTGTTTTGTTCTGTGACTGGCTCTTGGTGCTGCGCATTTTATTGATTCACTTCATGAAACCAAACCTAAGACTGTTCTCAGGGCGCCTCGTCGCACAACAGATTGTCACTCTGCCATTAGCAACGATGGTAGCTCGTCATAACATGCAAGCTTACTGGATTGCAGCGTAACGTATGCTCCACTGCCAAGAAGGCTGCTACCGTTGCAGAGGAGAGCTGGCCTGCAGGTTCCGCTACTGCTCCCAATGACCAAATTGTATAAGCTGCTGGCGAACTGACGCAACCTACTTGCGGTCAAATGGTTGTTTCTTGAAGCGCACTAAGGGAAAGTTACTACTGACGAGCTCCTGAGAATACGAAACGATCGCCTGGTGCTGTTCGTGAATAAAGGTTTGATAGTTGGGGGGAAAAGAAATAACACGAATTCGGTTCCTTAGCCGCTAGCCGGACGAGTCCGACGCCCAATAACTTAATGTATCAGCTCCGCACGTCTTTCCAACTGGACATCCGTATACGAAAACGCTTTGAACATATTCGCAGTTCGCTTCCTGTTAATACCATGAAACTTAGGATTGTGTTGCAAGAAAATAGCAAATTAGGAACTCGACAACTATTTACCAGGCAAAATCAATGCGTTGCGCGTATTGAATGCAAGCACTAACTGAGCTTTCTAAGTGACACCAACTAGCCAGTCTGAAAATTTCACATCCGCCTCTTGAGATTTTTCTACGTTGCGTTTTCCTGCATAGGTCAGCGACACTAAGTTAGATTTCGGAAGTGCTTTCAGTATAAACGAAGCTTAATGACATTCATGTAGTAAATATTTTGTGGGCATTTGGCGTTAGATAAGCCTAGGCCGTTTGCTATAAAATTTCATTATATGGTTGCTTTCGTAAAGGACCGATAACGCCACATTTTCTCACCAGTCGAATGAAAATCCACGAGTTACGGTCACTGAATCTGCTGGTACGCAACTGCGTAAATAGCACTGCTTGTACCGATTAACTAAGAAATTTTGAACAGACACTTATTTCAACTCCCTGTTTTAGTATAGGTCTTCAAGCAAGCAAGTTCAGTCACCTGGAATGCATCCAAAAATATGGGTGCTGGTGTTTATAATTAATTATCATTATCTGAAAACAAAATGTACGAAACATCTAATGAGATATGGTAAAAGTGAAATGCGGTAACCTACTTGAAGGCTAATGTATTAAACGTTTGGTATTTACCCGCGGTTCAACCAGAACGAAGTAAATAATCAATGAATAACCTCACATTTGCAAATCAGTCGCACCTTTGTTATTGCCATCTTTATACATAAATGCATAGTATTTGTATGTGCGTTGTAAGGAAACTGATTCTTTAAAGGTTGTGGAAAACTTTTAGTATAAATTATGTTAAATGGAATAACGCTGCCCTTCAATGCTACTTCTAGGATGCGAAAGAAACGTTAACCTCGATCAAGTACAAACAAACTCAAAGCATACTCCGATTCAAGGATTCCATGCAACTTTTTTGGTGTTTCTTTTAAACTTTCACGCCAACGTTTTACGCAAAATGATTAGTCGGTGTTTATCTCTACTTTTGCATCTATCTATTCATTCCGTTCAATAATGTGAACATCTAAGAACACTTTCGCATCTGCCAATTTGCTTCTTTTCTATGTGATCTTTCATCTCTCAATATGTCAAACTGTAATTCTTTTAACTCCAATTTTTCGACACAGGTATTCAGCAATATTTCGTGGTCTAACGTTAACGTTTATTTTATCGTGTTGTGATAATATAGCAAAATCACATGGTTGAAAATAAATGTGTTTCGTTGGTTATGTGTTGCCGTTAACATTTTGATTAAATACTTAGCTGCTCCGCTTCCATGGTCACAAGCCAACTAGCGCATGTCACGCAACTGACAAACTTCAAGCAAAAGTAAATTCCTATCGAAATTTTACATATGAGAATCGAATCAAGGTATTCGCGTTCAACTGACGGGCATTCTTCAGCTTAAACCTATAACATATACATCTGGTTACCTCCACAGGTTTAGAATTTTGATGTGCCATGTGTTTGCTGGCAAATATAGAAATCCGATTCTACGTTAACATGGATTGTCAATAAAATTTATCATTTCCTCTTACCTATTGATTACCTTGTTACATGAATAGACCCCAACTTTAACTGTAAACTGAAATTATAACTTATACCGAACTTTTCGTATTCGTCAATTCGCTGATAGTTAGATATGACGAAAAGGACTTTTACCTGACTCTAAGTTAAAGCATGTAAACTCCACTAACTAACGTTTCCACGTATAATTAAATGTACGACAAACTATTAGATGGTGTTAGGTGTATATTTCACCTGGCTTAATTGCTCGTATAAGCCCAATCACTTTTACTCACTGGGCAATGCCCCCTTATAAATAAAGACGGAACTGCCCATGTTAAGAGTAAGTTAACTTATCTAACATTAAATATTTGGCTACCGTTCTTTGCAAATATATTGGTGGGTGAACGGTGAGCCAACGTTTTGCATCGTGTAAAGTGAACCTAAAACATTTACACTTCCAGTATTTGGCGACAGTATTTTAATGTCGTTTGTAAGTCGATCGTCCGTCTGTTTTACTTATTTACACCCTGTTTACCTATGTTTATTGTTGGTGGTGCGCTAACTTACACTGAGCTCTTGCTAATCTGCTACCAATTACTCGCAGATCTGCCAAAAACACGTCGAGTCTGGCAGCGATTTCACTTCACTATAATCGACCTCCTTATCAGTAAAACGTATTTTTATTAATAAATCCAAACAAGAACATAGAAATACGAATATTGCTCGGCTGTCGTTGCAAATAACACCTGAGTACCCTTGTATGCGTGCAGCGCCTAATATATAAATCGGCATAACATTGACGTCTTCTCAAACTGGCTGAGAATACCAAAGCTAGCGCCTTTGTTAAGCCCATCACTGGTACAATTGAGGACGAATTAGCACCGCATTATTTATGCATTATAGTGATAAAGAAGCGCTAGTAGGGTGTGATGTTGAATTTGCAATAATTTCGTTTACATTGCGCTTAGTTTGATGCCGGATTTTGCTGTTGTTAAAAGCAACGGTAATAATCGCACTCTAATATAACCAGAGGAATGCATTAATTATAGTTAGCTTAAAAATGGGTCAACCTTATTCGTACTGTTGATTGCAGTATCCTCAGCAATAGTAGAAACAATAACAGCTGTTCAAGTGTTAAATGAAAAGATATGCTCTAGGATATCTGTTCAAAACTAAGGTGGAATAATACTCTACGAAACGCCAAATCTTACGAACATCACACAATTACATCCGCTGTCATCCATAATAAATTCACCATAGTTCAGTTAAGCTGCAGCATTTG